ATAAGTAATAATGCCTATAAGAGCCAACACAGGATGTAAGTGTGTGAAATACGATATTTTATGTAAAACTATAAAAACTTTGAACATAAGAAACGTCTGAAAGTTTAAAAAAAATAATGATGCTGTAAGTTTTATGCGCGACTAAATTATTTTATAAATATTCTATTAGTAATAAATACATAGATTTATATTTACATTTTATTTTTAATGATAAATGTGTGCACTTAGTATATAGTTTATGTAACATTATTATTGAAATAAATGCATACACTTATTGATCAAAGTGCAATATGAAAGGAAATCAAATAATTATAAATATAATACAAACTTACAACTTAATCGTAAAATCTGAAATAATTATAGTCTCACAAATTACTAATAGCAACTTAATACCTGTTTACAAGTACTAAGTTGTTATTAGTATTATAATCAAAATTGACGTTCAATTTGATTTGTGAGACTGATTATTTCAGTTTATAGGAAATTGAAAGTTTAACAATAATCGACGCGCAATTTAAAGAACTAAAAAGATGTATGTAAAATATATACTATATATATACATATATTATATATATATTATATGTTAACAAATACTAGAATCATTTTTACGACCGTACAATTGATAAACTAACAAGAAGAAGGAAACCGGAATGATTAACGGTCAAAGCCAATAACGGTCAAAGCTGGATCACAATGCTTATTAAAATTATGTGTGAATTTTATATACCGCGTGTGTAGTTCCCCTATCGCGTGCCGAAATTTTTTCAGACTTACAACGCAACTCTAAATAACTACCGCAGTAATATCACTTTTTAGTTAAATTGCCAAAGCAAATCTAACAATTATTTGATGCTTATATAGCATCTTATTAGATCTTTAATAATATGTTGAAAGACATATATTAAAATTTAACGATGTAAATTTTAAAGTAATGATGAATCTAAAATCTGTGAAAAATAAGATTGCGAAAAATATCACGATTTGGCGTTTCGTCCCGGTAAAAATTTACATCGTTAAATTTTAATATATGTCTTTCAACATATTATTAAAGATCTAATAAGATGCTATATAAGCATCAAATAATTGTTAGATTTGCTTTGGCAATTTAACTAAAAAGTGATATTACTGCGGTAGTTATTTACAGTTGCGTTGTAAGTCTGAAAAAATTTCGGCACGCGATAGGGGAACTACACACGTGGTATATAAAATTCACATATAATTGGGTATGTTAAGTTAGCACCCCAACTATAGTACTCAGTAGTTCTGATTAGAGTTCCCACTTCCTTTTGACGAGACGAAGAGTTCCCTATAGTTAATAACAAGAGTTCCGCTCAATAAACATTTTTTTTACATTTTTTAAAAATGGAGTGCTAACTTTTTATCGAATTTCGAGGTGGAATAGTTCTGAGCGGCTTAATAGCTTCAATTTGCGATTGCCTAGAGTTCCTGATATGTAAAAAAAATTTTCGAATAAAAAAAAATTAAAAATTTTTGAAGAATTAATTTTTAGATACAATAGTTCTGATGATAATTCCTGCTTCTTTTTGACGATATGAAGAGTTCTCTATGATTTTTAATGACATATGCGCTTAATAATCATTTTTTAATAATTTTTTAAAAATGGG